ACACAACTGATGTGAGTTTTAAGCTGCTGGATCCGAGACTCAAACTGGTTGACTCTGTAGTCCAGCTATGTAACCATTTTGCCATCTGCTGGTCTCTCAAATGCATTATTTTAATTGATGAAAGAAAAAATGAAGTTTATAATAAGAAAAGGAGGGTTCCAAATCAAATTATATGAACCTTTCTTGGAGAAAACCTACATATCAGAAAACTGTCAAATACCGAAACTCATACATATATTACTAGTATACTTATTTACCATAAAAATGTGTCATTATGGAATATAACCTAGAGAAAATGCAAGTGATCAGAATGAGAATAAATTAAATAACCAATGTAGATGATGAGCTCAGTTGGAAAAGTCAGATTATAAAACATGATTATGTAAAAATATTTATTGGGATGAGGACGGTAAGATTTAAAAACAAAGATACCCAAAACTTGAAGAAATAATGAGAAGGTACAGTATGAAATATATCCTCAGCACTTGCCTCTCTTCTGTTCATGCTCGTATGAATAATAACGTGAAGATCCAACTCCTTTAAAAGGTTAGAAGAGGGATAAAAATTAAAAATGTATTCATGATTTACTCTCTGGCAAAAACAGGTTTATATTTATGAGAATGTAAACCATATGTTACTAAACCATCTCACCAAACACATGAGACATGCTGGATATCACCCCAACACTTTTGTGTGGAAGAAATTAAGATTTAAAAAAAAAGAGAGAGAGAAAGTAAGAGGGAGTAGAATAGGACTAATTCTGGGAAAAACAATATCATTCTGTGTTCTTGTTTTCCAGTAAAATTCCAAGACTTACTAAAATTGGACAAAGTTACTAAAAAGCTGTAGGAAAGCAAATTTAAAGCACTCACCTCTCAAAATTCTATCTGAAGACTTATTCATACCAATCCTGACAATTACATTAAAATTTCCAAATTACATTATCCTTAAAAAGTAAAAAAAATTAAAAAAAAAGAATACCTCTCCCCCAAAGAAAGATCAGTAGAAAAGGAGACTACTAGGATCAGCCATTAGCGTAATGGCTATGTTGCTGAACTCCCATGTAGTGGACCGCAGTTCAAGTCCCAGATCTGGTGGCTTATACTCACACTGGAAGCGTGTGCGTGCATGCCCAAGATCCCGAGAGGAGAATGGAAAAGAAGGGATTACAGTATGGCCATCCCCCCTGAAGGGTGATTTCTTACTTTCTGTCTCTCTGTACCTCGGTCTCTCTGGCGAGCACACTCAACCTATAGCAAAAACGTCTCCAAAATAATTATAATAATAATAAAATAACAAAGAAAAGCAAAGGACAATATTATACTTCAAATGATTATATGATTATATTAATGTAGTCTAAAAATTTATTTGGGGGCCAGAGAAGATGGTGTGGAGATTAAGGTGGCTGGATACCACATGGCCTACTGCCAGGTTCAAGTTTGTACCAACGGTTTGAAAATCACGTTGACCCCTGTATACCCAGAATCCAAAGGAAGAATAGAAAAGGGATTTTGGCGTGGCCAACCCCCTGGGGGATAATTTCTCTCACCCTCTTCTCTGTCAGTCTCTAGTCAGTGTAGACACCGTATACGAAACTTAAAAAAAAAAATTGGTAATATCTGAGAGTAATTATTTTGTAGTCTCTTCACATTAAAATGTTAGATGAGAAACGGTACCATTTAACTTTTCTTAAAGTATAAAATCCTTCTAAAAAATTTACTGCATTGCAGTTCATTGAAATAATAATTCTGCCAATAAAATGCAAAAGAGAGCTGGGCCATGGTCATATGACTAGACTCAGAGTAACTGGAGTCAGCTCTCACTCATTTGGGAGGGGTGGTGGGTGGGTGGTGGTGAGACCAAGACCTGAATGATCGGGGTGGACAGAACCACAGCCAGAGTCCCTGTGCACTGCTGACGGTGACTTCAGGACCGTCCCCAGTGTATTCCCAGAGACTGACCCTTCACTGTATGACAGAAAGGGGCTCTGGGCGAGTCAGTCTCTGGTGCAGGATCTGAAAACCAGGAGGACACTCCCAGACAGAAGTGAAGGGCTTCCTTATTTTGGTGACAATCTCAGTTTCTTTCTTTCTTTCTTGTTTCTTTCTCTCTCTCCGTTTATTTTTGTTCGCTTGCTTATTTTTGTCTTGTTTTTATGTTTTTGCCATAGGGCATGCACTTGCCAGGGTGAGAGAGATACAGTGGCCACAAGGCATTCCTCCTCCTCCAGCTCCTCCCTGGATTTGGGGCACACACAGATGCCCTGAGCTGATTTTCCAGCCACCTGTGTAGGTCTCACACAGTTGTCAACCAAACCCCACTTTCTTTCCCTCCCTTTGGGACAGCAGCCCCAGCAGGACAGGAGACCCAGGCACCCCAGTGGCCCTCATACCTGTGCGCTGCAGCATCTCCTTCCTGTTCTCCAAGTGGGTGCCCAGGCACTGCACACACACACCTCCAGGTAGGCCTGACTGGGTCTCCCAAGCAGCTGCCTCCCACTTGAGCTGGGAGATCTGGGCCGCAGGGTCAGCCCTGGTCCAGGAGCGCAGGTCCTTGTTCAGGGCGGTGTGGTCCTGCCATCCTAGGCGTCCTGACTGTACCCGCGGAGGCGGCGCCCTGGACAGGACTCTGAGACAGACACCCCTTTAGTCCTGACCTTGCCGGCTCCGTCCCCGCAGTCCCCACTCTGGACCATTCCCGCGGATTTAGGCCTAAACTGAAAGGAAACCCAAAGGTCTCTGTGGGCTCTTTGAGACTGAGGGTCTGGGCAGGTCCCGCAGTTCCAGGTGAAGCTGGGACCCGAATAGGGGCGACCCCGCAGTCCGTGGGGAGCCAGAGGATCCTGACCTGGGACGCGGGCGGGCCCCTCGCCGGCCTCCTCTGGTGGCAGTGGCCGCGGGGTGAAGCCATGGGTCAGCCTGTGCCTGGCCGGGCTCTCCGCGTCTGCCCCTCCCGGTGTCCCCGTCCGCGTGTCCGTCCAGGCGCCCGCGGCTCCATCCTCTGACGCGGAGTCGCTGTGGAACCGCACGAGCTGCGTGTCGTCCGCGGAGCCGACCCCGATGTACCGGGGGTCCCCTCCCGGCCGGGACACGGGGGTGTGGACATACCTCAGGGAGTGCGGCCTGGGGGGAAGGCGATGAGACCCGCCGACCCTCCTCCCTGCGGACCCGAGTCCGAGCTCCATGGGGCCGGGAGGGGCCCAGGCTCCGGAGACCCGAGACACGGAGGGGTGAGCGGAGGGGCTGACGCGGGGTCAGGACAGGGGTCAGCGCGGAGACGGGGCTTCCCGGGCCCGCGTCCCCGCCGGGCGGTCCCCTCGCTCCTCCCGTGACGCCGGTTCCCCCCGACCCCGACCCCCACTCACCCGCCCAGGTCTCGGTCAGGGAGCACCAGGAGGAGGGTCCGGGGAGTCACAACCGCCATCCTCAGAGTCCTGGGCGATCTGAGCCCCAGCTGCTTCCAGAGGAGTTAGTAACCGGAGCCTCGATGGCGCTGATTGGCTCCCGTGAAAACAGGGCGCCCAATGGGAGTGAGAGCTGGGGTCGCGTCAGGAGTGTCCGGGCAGAAGGACCCGACCCCTGAGAGAGGGAGAAGTGCTGGGCATCCCAGCCAGGGACTGCCCTAGGACTGAGACCCCGGACTTGGTTCTGACCTTCCATCTTGCACTGTTGCTCTTTGTCACCTCGTCCGCCTGAGGCCTGGACAGAAGCAGCGAAGTCAACAGTTCTCAGACGTTTATTTAGGATTTAGGATCCTATATGCTCTTAGGAATTAAGGAGGATTCCAAAAGAAAATTTGTTCATATGGATTATCTCTGTCTCATTAGAAGATTGCAGGATTTTAGGTCTGCTTATATATTCAATCTGTCATTTTAGTTGAAGTTTATGGAAAAAATAAGCCTGACATAAATATTTACGTGGACTATTTTTAATAACGTTTTCAGTCATGGGTATTCATGTTTAATACAACACAACCCTGAAATGACATATGTTAGCGTCTAAAGGCTATTTGCAAGGTGAAACCTGAAACGCTGTTGTTGAATATTTTATATTCTGTTACATTGACGCCTGTATTTATCTAGTACATCCAGTGGATCTTGCACTAATGCATGGTTTTTTAAAGTAATGCTGTTTCACCAAATGACAAGACCTAACTCTGTTGAACTTTAAATTACAAATTATTTTTAACATTACATGCGTTTGGCCAGCAGGTGGCGCGGAATTTAATACACTGGATTCCCGCATGCAAAGTTGGTGGTTTGAGTTCTTGACCCTGAGGCTTGAAAATGAGGCTCAATGGCCAGGCTATTGTGGGTGCCCAACATCCCCAGAGGGGAATGGAGAAGGGACTGATGTGTGGTCACCCTGGGGAAATAATTTCTCCCTTTTCTTTGTTCTTGCTCTCTTTCTCTCTTCAAGGAGTGCATGCGCCCTCTGACAAAATATATTAAAAAAAAAAAAAGGAAAGAAAGAAAACCAAAGGTCATGTTAATATTACCACAGACTCTGACAAAAAAGCTTGTAACTGCCGGGAAGCTGTCAAGGTAACAGTGGTAAATGTAAATTTTCCAAAAGTCTAATTTTTTCTTGGAACCTTTCATTTTATCATTGGCAAAATTACTCAGTGGATTATCTGGAAGAGACAAACTCAGCCGAATATTCAAATGTCAAACGTGTCAGTGTGCACATCTGACAATCAGACCATTTCTGTCATTCTTTCAAGTAAACTTGCTCTTCTATTAAAATGGAGTTAATATAGCTCAAAAAAGTATTTTGTACACATTTCCCATTTAATTAACGTGGAAGACATTTAACATCGTGGACATTAGAATAAATATTAAGTTAATCACTCTTTTTCCTTTGGTAAGTTTTTGCGCTTGCCAGAGAGAGATGGTGGTGGGGAGTGGGGGGGAGAAATCACCCCCCAGGGAGGATGACCACTCTCCAATTACCACTCCTCCTATAGCAGGAAAAAACGATTTTTAGCCCTGGTTTTTTTTTTTTTTTTTTTTTTTTTTTTTTTTTTTTTTTTTTTTTTTTGGGTTAATTTTTTTTTTTTTTTTTTTTTTTTGCTTTACTTTTGTTTTCAGGGTTAACTGCTTCTGTAACAAATGTCATCTGTAACTATTGTAACAAATAAGGTTTTAAGTAAGCCTGTTTGCTTAGAAGAGGAAACCTAAGCCATTGCTTTAGATAATGGTCACAAAAATACAGTAGAAAGGGTCCCAGGTGAGAAATGGGAATGTTGGGCAACCAGCAGTTGGCATAATGGATGTCGCTGGACTCCCATATAGTTGACCGCAAATCGAGGCCCGGACTCGGAGGCTTAAACTCACACCGGGAGCGTGTGTGTGCGTGCCCAAGATCTAGAGAGGAGAATAGAGGAGAAAGGATTGAGGCCTGACCATCCCCCTGGAGTTGAGTTCTCGCTTTCTGTCTCTCTGTTTCTCTCTGTCTTTTGGGGGAGCACATGTGTAATATAGGAAAAACAAAAACAAAACCAAAAAAACTTCTCCAAAAAAAAAAAATGATAAAGAAATGAGAAGGTTTACTCAAGGGACACAATGAAACAGGTTAATAAAAAAAACTGTAATAATGATACTGTTTACCATAATAGTCACTCAGAGATGCTCAGAGATGCTTAGATTTAGCTGGGAACACTCCAATCTCCTCTTGGATTTGGGGCATATGTGCACCACCCACTATGATTTTCAAAGTGCTGGGTCAGGGGCTTGAACAGTAAAGTCAGCCCTGTGGGACCCAGCCACATACCTCCACACCATCTGCCAGCTCTAAAGGTAATAATCTGTAATACTCTAACCAGGAAATGCTGACATGAAACTCCCTTTTTTCTTCTTCACATCAGTGGTGAACACAATAGCTACTATTGCAGATTAACACCCTAGGCTTTATTTTTGCTATTTTTACTTTAGTGCAAATAATGTCTTAGTGATACTATAAAACTAGTTTGACTGGTGAGTCTCAGCCCACACCCCCCCCCCCCCAGGGTTCCACAGACTCTGCTTTGAGAACTGCTGTTCCAGGTAAACCTTGCAGAGTTCCCAACTGGCTCCAGCCTCTTTGTCTCTTCCCAAAAATCCCTCCCCTGAGCTGGACTCCTGCCTCTCAAAACTGAGCTTAGGGTTCTACCCTGGGCTCTTCTACAATAGAATCTGGCCCTTGGATATTTGATATCAGAGTGTCCCCAAGTCTGGGACATGAGAAGGGCATGTGTTTCCCCCTTGAAACTGGAGCAGTTAGTACCCAAGGTGCCAGAGAACTTCACCCATGGCCCACTTGGCTTTTGTGTGTCCTTATCGCAGACGGGAGTCTGATGCCGTCTGTGTGAGAGCTAATCGTGACCCTTTACAGATCCATCCGATGAGCTTCCCTTGACTCCCACACAGCATCCAGCACAGCTTTCCTAGTCTGTCAGACTGCTGTGACAAAGATGCCTTAGACCAGGTGGTTTATGAGCAACAGAGATTTATTTCTCACAGTTCTGGAGGCTGAGAAGTCCAAGATGCTGGCCAAGTCCCTGTCCGATGAGAACCCCCCCTCCTCCAGGACAGCTGTCTCCTCATCTGGCAGAGGGGCAAGGCAGTGGCGGGGCGCTCTTTTATTAGACTACTGATCCCAGTCATGAGAGCACCCCTCATGATGTAATCACCTCCCAAAACCTCACTTCCTAACACCAACTC